AGTGGGCATGGTGGTGTTGGGTCGATGGTCGGACTCGATGATCTTAGAGGTCTTTTCCAACCTTAATGATTCTATATTGAATCTATATATGTATACTTAGCATTTCATACTAGCTTCATTTTCTCTATGTAAAAAAAAATTAAGTTTGTATCACTGTTTTACTGATTTTTAAAGCCGGTATTACATTCTAGCAAAAATGAAAGTGCTGATTAATACATTATCCCACTGCTGTCTTTAGCATTCATAGAAAAATAAATTATTGTCTATACTAGAGTCTTAAGTATCAAGAATGTAAGAATAATCACTGAACGCTATTTTATTTTTCAGTGCTCATATATGCACACTTCATCTCAAGAGAAAACAGAAAATAAAAGTACATTGCACATATTTGTTCTACTGCAGTACCCCTTGAATCCCTCTCATATTTTTTATCCTCATTGCAAAGACACAAAGAAGTTGTAGTGTTCTTGTTGTTTTAGTTCATATGAGCTGAAGATTTTGGGCAGCCTACATCCTCTCTAGCTCCATCGCTCCAAGCGTTTCAGTTTAGACCTAAGTAGGTATTGACTCTTCGCAGTAGAATGCACATCACTGAAATTATCAGAGCTCAGTGTTTTCCCTTTTTCTTATGTTCTGCATAAAGCTGTTAACAGCCTACTCAAATTATTGTGCATAGCTTCCAGTTTATACTTGTTTTAGTGTGTTTTCTTTTCTGTTAGAGGATTTTTGAATGAGAAATTAGCTCATTGAAAAAGGGAAGTATTCATGCTGAATTTGCTCTGTGCTGGGAAACAGCCATATGAATCGCTTATTTTCTATTATTCATATTAAAATATTGTAGTCTTACAAAATCTAACTCTTAAAGAGCAACATGAATATGGAGGTTTAGAATTTTAGTTGAGCATGCTGTTGGTATTTTAAACAGAAGCAGCATCCAAAATTTCTGGTACAGAAAAACATATACTTGTGTGTGTATGTATATTTATGTATATATGTGTGTGTGTTTGTGTGTATCTACATAGAAAGTACAGATCCTGTGGTGTGGGGACAGGAAATATTGAAGAAAATTATTATTGTAACTCTGAAGAAGCTATGTTGCTTTCAAAAGAAGTAGATAGTAGCAAACAGTTAAAATCCCTGTCTTTGTTTTTAAGGTCTATGTCTGGGGTTACAATGGTAACGGCCAGCTTGGACTGGGCAGCAGCGGCAATCAGCCAACACCATGCCGAATAGCAGCTTTGCAAGGCATTCGTGTACAGCGGGTATGTGTGTGATGCTCCATGTCAAACCCTTTATGAACAACTGAAAATATGCTAAGGCATATTCTACATTTATCTCTTTGTTTAAAGTGCCATTTATCAGAATAAAAACATGTATCTTAAAATGGACCTCTGTCAGTGAGGGAGAAACTGACCCTGTGGAGTTCAGTGGGAATTTTGCCATTGATTTCAGTGAGGTCAGGTTTGTACTTAAAGAGGACTAGGGCATTAGAAATGTTTGGTCTTTTTTTCCTGTGAAACTTAATAAAAAAAATTCCTGTTATTTTAGTAAATAAGAAAGTCTTCTTAGGCTACCCCATTCTTCATTAACCCCTGTCTTCTTTTCTGGGGCAATGCTGCAGTTTAGCATTTTGTCTTTCTGCAGACTGAATATCACTTTTAGAATTGCAGTCCAGTCACAGTGGTGTTTGGAGTCTGAACAAATAGTCTCCAACTGCTTTTGGTCAACAGTTGGTCAACAGTCAATCATACCAACAGTTGGTATGATTCCATGGTTGGCCTTGATCTTGGGTGGTTATTACACTTTACCAAATAACTGGGCTGCCATCAGTGTAACTAGCAAACTGATAACTTCCTTTGACTGATAAGAAATATTTTAAGTAACTGCAGAACTGATACTGAAAGCTTTTAATTGATTTATCCAAAATAGAGGATACTGTCAGGAAAATGGCACATTCTGTTAGAAAACAGAATTGTTTTTGTAACCCAGTGAAAATTTACAAGAGTGTTTTGCACTTTGGATCCTATTTATTACATTTACTCTGGGAAGTTACGGATTTTTTAAAGCTTTTAAAATAAACTCATTTAATTACATAGTTTTACATTCAGTTCCTAGGATGTAGACAGTAGCTTTGCTGGTAACAATTGCTGTTGGAGAATAATGTAATAAGTAAATATTTTTTTCCCCTGTATTTGTTCTCCTGTTTAGAGAGTATGAGTGCTCCAGTAAGTTTGACTTAGATCCTATTTCCATCCACTTCATTTGTTTGATATCGATTAATACCAAGTTGTAGACCTTCAATCAGTAAATAACTTAAGGATTTATTTCATTTAAAGCACATCACATGCTTCATGGATGTCAGTGATCTACATGTACTATGGTATATCTGCTTTGCAGATTATATAAAGATACCTGAGCTAGTTTTGAACAAGGTTAAGTTGGTAATTGATAGCCATCTAGCTATAATAGGTTACATTAACTCATGCAGAGCAAGACTGTTGCTGGTAATTTTGCCACTGTGTATCTGTATGTGGGGCGTGTGCTGCATATATAGATTGTAAAGTGGATATTCAAGCAACCGTATGCAGGGTACCTGAGGAGGCAGCTCAGCAGGACCGAGTGGGTTTTCCACAAGAGGGTATGAGCTGACACAGTTGTGTGCTGCCACCAAGTTGGAGGGTTTCATCTCTTCACTCTCTTTCCTGGCTGGCTGCTCCTGTTGCTTACCTTGTGTGGGCACTGGTGGTCCTCAGGCACAGCTGTGGAGAGTTTCTTTCCAGAGGTGTAAGTTACCTTGGCAGAGGGTCCGGTGAGCTCTAGAACTGGCATAGGGAGGGGGCAGTTTTTTGTGGCTGGCAGCTGGGGAAGAGAGGAGCAGACAGGGAGACCTCGCCTGTTTTTACAGTGGTAAGCTGTTCACCTTAGAGCAGTTGCCCATAGAGCAAGGTCAGTGCAAGACAATCTGCCTTTTTCTGCATTTTTTCTGCATACTGTTTATATTTGTCATATAGCTTTCCTTCTTTCTCAATTTCTAGCTATTCTTTTGTTGTACTCTTGAGATTATCTGGCAGGGTTCCTCACTGACACATTTTTTCCTCAAAGTCACCTCATCTACTTTGCTTCCCTTTTTAATAAACTTATGTGTATTTGTAATTTCTGTAATTTTTACACTGGTATGGAATCAATAACATTAACGTATAGCATAACATGTATCTGTCTGTATTAACTTACTGTTACATAAAAATGAGATTTTTCTTTTTATTATTCCTTATAGGTTGCCTGTGGCTATGCACATACGTTAGTGCTAACAGATGAAGGTCAGATTTATGCCTGGGGAGCCAATTCATATGGCCAGTTAGGTACTGGGAATAAAAGTAACCAGTCTTACCCTACAACAGTTATTGTGGATAAGGACAGGTAATACTTGTAATCTAGCAGTCAGACATTAGTTGGCGTACTCTCAGAAGAGCTACAGAAAATTATGGCATTTTTAATCTGTTTTTTGGAAGAAATAGCCTATAATTTTTTGCAATGGTTCTTCTGCTAAATGTGAACAGAATTTTCACTGAAAGTGCTTGAATCTGCCCCATAACCATCCTTGTGAAAGAGAAACTGAATGTTCTGAGTAGCCCGAATGTGCTATTTTCTGCTTTGGCTCACACTTCATAGGCCTTAATTGCGGTTTCTCTTCAGTGGTGTAGTTGCATTGTTTGAAGTCAATGATAAAAGCTTTATTGTCTCTGAATATAAATTGTATTTTAATATGCTACTTTTGCTAAGAAGTACACACAGAAAAAGTGAAGAGTGGACATCTGCAATTTGTGTTATTCCTGCTATTAAATCCAGCTCATAACCCAGGAGAGAGAAAGGGAGGAATTCTTTCTTGGTATTGTTGCCTGAAAATTAAGCTTAGATTTTTATAAGTTAAATATTTTCCTGTAAGTCCTTGGTGGGTAGTGGGGCAGTTATTTCTATTGCTAATGTAAAGCCATGTATATATGCAGCCAGAAATTTGAATCTATTCCTTACTACTGAGGTCTTGATTTTGGCCTCCTATTGTGAAAAATAAGAAAAGTGAGACGTCCCTCTTAAACTTGTGTCTGTTTACATTATTGTAAGGAAGAGGCAACTCCTCCCTGGTGATGATATCTGTCCTGTTTTTGAACATTGCTATTTCTTTATGTGTGTTTGTGCTTTTGCTTAAAATGTAACTGAATTTTTTCCAGACACTTTGGCTGCAGTTAAAATATTACCACATTTTAACAAACATTTTAATGTTGTATGCTGCCTTTCCCTTTTGTTGGCCAGAATATGCATTCCTGGTGTCAGTGAGAATATTACCTCACTAAAGCCTGCAAGATTTGTATGTAGAACTTTAAACAAGTTGTTTCCCAGCTATTTTCCCCAGGCAGCTGGGAAAACAAGTAAACAAGCAGTAGTTCAGACTGCAAAACAGTGGATTGTGTAATGTTGTACACAGTGAGAGTTTTGAAATCCTAAATCAACTTTAGGATTAGTGAGATAGCCTAACATAGCTAAAATCAAAGCTTAGAAACAGCTTTTAGTGCTGTTTAGTTCTAATTTTTAATTTTCAAAATGAAAGTCCATTAAATGTAAGTAATAATAATTGTATGAGTAATGACACTTCATTATTTTAATTAAAAGAAGTATGTTTAAATTGTTGGTTTATAACTGTTACCAATAAGTAAGCAGGAAAAAGTTTTTTTGGTTTTTTTTTCAATTTTTTTTTTAAACGCCTCCTCATTTGTTTCTTCATCTTCTCCAAATACCCCTTCTCTACAGCTTAATGCAGCCACTCACCTCACTGCCTAGCACCAGCGAGGACATTCAGAGGCTTGAAACTCATCATGGCTTTGTTTGAGGCAGCCGAGGGGGTCAGTAGAGCATGTGCTTGCAGCTGCTCTGCTGCAACAGTGTCTCCTCACTCCCAAGATGCTTTTTCACTGAGAAACTTTCTGAGTGCACACTATTTGAAGAAACATTGATAGCTCTTTTAATTTTGCTATGTATGATAGGAAAACATTCTTGCAATTGGAAGTGCATGCATGCTTACAAATATGTTTTACACCAGAGAAAGACAGGAGGTAGTGAGCTTCTTCACTGCATTTTGTTCTTATGAGAGTGACTTGCTTGTTTTCTTTGTTTGCTTGTAAATTCAGAGTTATAGAGATTGCAGCCTGCCACTCTGCTCACACGTCGGCTGCCAAGACCCAGAGCGGCCAGGTGTACATGTGGGGCCAATGCCGTGGGCAGTCAGTGATCTTTCCCCACCTCACGCACTTTGCCTGCACTGACGACGTGTTTGCTTGCTTTGCTACCCCTGCCGTTATGTGGCGTCTTCTATCAGTAGGTGAGCTTAAATATTTTTTGTTTTGACATCTTCTGAATAGAATCATTAGTGCATAAAACAGTTGCATGTATTTGAAGCCTAAACTTAGTTTCTTGCAAAAATTTATACTGGCAAGCATAATCATATATTACATATGTGTAAATGGTAATATGAATCGTAAAAAATTGCTAAGGCCTGATGGCAGTGCTAAATGATTGTCTGTTTTATTGACGTGGTTTATTTCTGTGGGGAAATGCCAAATTCCCATGTTCAGAATTGGCCACAGGCACTTAGAGTCTCATCACAAGTGATCATGACCTGGGCTTCTGAAGAGACAAGTTGCTGGATCTCGGATATTTGATTAACATTAAGGTCTGTCTTGCTGACCTTGACTAGAAAGAGTTAAGCGTATAGCATTGTTTAACAGAGAGTTCATTCTTCAGCTACAAATTCAATCCCGTATAGGTTGCTAATGAAGTTACTGGCTTTGCTGACCTAATCAAAGATGAGACACTTGGGGTTGTCTGTAGGTGTCATCTGGGAGCTTAAGCTAAAAGCTAGAATGCAGCAACTTGTTAATTTGTAATTTGAACTGTATTGAGTCCATCATGCTTCCATTCCACTTCCGCACTGCCTTTGTAATTGCTTTTGTGTTGCTGTATGCTTTTGTCTGGCAATTGTAGAACACTCTTTGCTCCCTTGGTACCTTCTGGATGCCAAGGTAAGGAAATTACATTAACAGTACTCAAATTTCAGCTTTGAGAGACTAGGGGATTAAATGGAGAATCCTGTTCTCAGGAAACTGCTTTGCCAAAATTAATGTTTTAGGGCACAGTCCAAAGACCCCATTTGCTCTACATTGAGGCAATTGTGCTTTCTAAGGTGGCTTGTTCAGAACCGTAAGATATATGCTTAATTACTGTGGAAATTCTTAATATTCTTAATATTTGCCTACTACCAATTAGATGTAAATTGTGTTGCTGCACTAAAATCCCAGGCAATGGGGTGGTTCATTGCATGTAAATATGTGTTTGTCAGTTGTAAGTTCTACATAAAAGTATCTGTAGTTTGTTCAGATTTTTCTTTCCTAAGAATCAGTTATTTTATGAAGGAAAGGGGACATTATTAGTATATGTAGCTTAATCATAAATTCAGTTATATGTATCTCCTTATGTACATTAGCAGGGTTCTGGGGCTCTTCAGCTTCCATTTCTTCTTGCTCAGTTAAAATATTATTTCATGCTATCAGAATTTCCCCTCCACTTTTTCTCTTGCCTTTTCTTCTCAGTTTAGTGCAGAGTATTGAGGAATTTTTCAGAGGGTGGAGGAAGGCAAGAAGCAAAAACTGCCTCTTTCCTTATTTCATTCCTCACGGAGAAGACAACTGCTTGAGCGAGAGTGAAACTGTCCGTTACAGTTTTTCAGTGCTCCTTTCTGCAAATGCACCTTTTCTTACCTTCTTTTACAAATGCTGTTTTAGGTCAGAAATGCTGTTTTAGGTCAGCTAAAGGAGTCCTGAGTGGGATTATGTATGATCATTCATGTAATTATCACCTTTATACTGAAGACTTCCAAGTAACCCATTTATTAATAAGCATATTGCTCATTAATACTCATAGATATTCACTCTCTTTAACACAGTGTGGTTAAGACTACATTCGTAACTATTTCCCAACCCATCTTTTATCACCACCTTCATTGTCACCATGAACAATACACCCAGGCTCCTTGCACTGCTTCACACCTCGGGAGTAATTTTGGACTATAGCAGCTCCTTTTATTATTTTTTGACCTTGACTTCTTGGTCCCTTTGGAAATAATATGTTGCTACAGCGTTGCAACATTGTACCAAAGCACAAGGTGAAACCTTACAGGAGGAAAAGGTTATTTTATTTTTAAACAAAACTAATTTCAGATGCACTTTCAAACCCACATTCTCATATGTGTCAAGTGGTCTGTCCAGCATCCTGGCACTAAAATGTGTATTCAGGTGGTGTGAGCAGGGTTCCTTGTGATGATACAGGATAAAGTATGCTAGCTATCAGGCCGTCATCATGTGTCCTGGATTCCTTTTAGTTAGGTGACCATGTGCTGGTTTCAGATGTGCCTTTTTGCATGCTCTAGGAGCTGAGAGTGACTAGTCTCTCCATCACGTCCCACCTTGGCGAGTCATCAGGACTGACTCATGTTGTTTGTCTCCTGATCTAAGTGTGGTGAGAATCATCAGGCAGCTGCATCCTAGGATCTTAACATCTGCTGAACTAGGTGCCGTGGATAGCTGCCACACTTACAGCCCTTTTCCATCTTGTATTCTGGTGCTTCCGCACCCAGGCATTCCCCTGCATTCCCCATTCGTGGCAGTTCTAACATTTCTATTACAATTCTTAGCACTGACTGCTAAAGAGTTTTCTTGGCTTTGTGCCTCCTCAGTGTGAACTGCCTCTTCATCTCCTTTCTCTGGTTGCCCCTTCACTGCTCTAACAAATAAAAGCACCTATTTTCCCTCTAAGAATTTCATAACTGAACCCCGCTATATTCAGCTTACCTCTGCTGGCTGTAGAAGTTATCTGGAGATGCATATTGATGGACATCTGAATTGCCAGTTAACTTTGAAGATGATAGGCTTCACAACAGGATAGTGCAGGATCCTTTGAACTATTACAGTAGAGCTTCAGCTTTGCATTGGTTGTTAAAATCACTATACTTATTCGGATAGCAGAGGTCTGAATAAATAAACCACATTCTACAAAATAAGAACTAACAAAGTATTTTACAGTATCATTATTTCAGAAGGATTTTTTATTATCATTACATTGACTTCTCCCCCTCCCCCCAATCCTTTTACCTGTAATCCAATGCACTTCCATAATTATTGCCTTAATTGGGTATACCTGAACGTAAGTGATATCCTCTGAATGAAATGGAAAATAATTGTGCTAAACAAGGTGTAACAGGATCAAACTGTGTGTGTTAAGTTTTTTTCTAGAGCTTGTGGTGAAGGTCTTTCCATTTCCAGCGGAATACTATTCTTATTTCTAGCTTGGTAGGTTACAGGACCTAGCATTTATGTAATTTTCTGTAGAGAACAGCTTGTTACTGACCCACAAAATTTGTATAAACCAATAATGTGTACTTATATGGTAAGAAGACAAAATTTTTTCTGGGTTAAGAATGAGGTTTCGGGGGTTAATTACTTAGTAGTATTAAAGAAGATAGTTCTCTGAGGCTACCAAATATGATGGAGATTTGGAAACAGTTCAGGAGATAAAAATTTGTATGCAGACAATGGATGACTTTTCAAGGCTGTCTGGTAACTTTATAATGCAAGTGTCACGTGCACATACATACATATGACACAAACAGGAATATGCAGACATTCACACCAAGAGTGCTTCTAACACCGTAAGTCTACGGAAAACACTTTTTGAATAGACTTGTAACTGTTGGTATTCACCTTTAGGGATATTGTACTGGGCAGTTTCACTGCAACCAATATGTTGGTTATGTAATAGCTTTATTTCTGCTGTAAGAGAATGTCTTCTCATAGGAGTATTCTAGACAATCTTACTGTGATTTTTATTGACCTTTTGAGTATCTTGTAATAACTAACACTTTTCATTTAGAATAATTTACTCAGTAATGACTGATAGCATTTGCTATCAGAATCAGCATTAAACTTCTGAGACTATGTTAATTTTCTTTTTCTGGCCTTATATAGATGAGTTAGAGGAGTGGGACTTATTTTTTTTTTTAATAGGGATATTTGTTTGGAGCAGGAAACTAGTAAGGACTGAAGAAATCTGCCCTTTATTTGCTTTTCTGGGAGTTCATACTGAACACATAGTCTGCTGGGTTTTTTTACTAGCCTTAAAGAGATGTCGTATTTATTAAGTGTTAATTGCTGACAGATACCCAGGATGTTATCACGAGACATACTTGTATTACTTACTACTTATTATTAATTCCCCTTTTTATTCTAGAGCCTGATGACCATCTAACAGTAGCCCAGTCACTAAAGAAGGAATTTGACAACCCTGAAACTGCAGACCTGAAGTTTCTAGTGGATGGAAAATACATTCACGTTCATAAAGTTCTTCTCAAAATTAGGTAAGGCACAAACTGTATAGTTTAATATAAACTGTATCGTGTAGTCCACTGTGCTGAGTAATTACTGCTCAAAATTCTTGACTTATTCTTACAAACTCCCTTTTCCCTCAGCCATGTGATTCACCTGCTATTCTTCATTGTTACTTTCTTTTCCTCATTTCCTCGCTGCTTGGAATTACCAAACATGCTGCTTACTACCAGCTTTTTCATCACGTTCCTCCATCTGACCTGTATCCTCCTTCATGCCACCTAAATGGCCTTGACCCTGATTTCTAATAGGAAATTAGAAATTCCTCAGCAGGAAAAGGCTCACTTCTTTCTGCTGCGTTCCCAGTAGTTTGAATCAGTTTTTCCTCCTTTATATGCTTGGCTTCCTCCACTGGGATGATTTGAGGGTTTTGTGTTTATTCTTGCCTGCCTTTCTTTCTTTCCTTCCACAGGACCCTTCAGTTGTTTCAGCAACTTCTGTAGATGCTCTTCAGATTATCTTTTTTTTACTTTTTTGTCAGATTTCTTATCCTGCTTGTTTTAAACCCTCTTATCAGTGAATTTGAATTTTAAGCTGGCTTCTCTTTTCGTTTTTACAGCTTTTTGCAAATTAACACCACTTTACAGTGAGATTTGACATACGCAGATCTACAGAGTAATCACATTGTTATTAACATGCAGAGATTAGTTTGTCATTGCTAACACAGTTTCTACTAGGATATTCTAGAGACACTGCTTTAGATCTCTTCTGTCTTGCTAACTGCTTCTGCTCCATCCTTCTCATTGTTACAATAGTTTTTTCTCTTTGCTATTTTCCTTCTCAAAATGCTTGGCTATCTCATCCTGCTTATCACCACTTTCATCTTCCTACTTTTGCTCCTGAGTCCCGTTAGTGATTTCTTGTATATTACTGCATAAAATTAAAGTTCCTTGTTAATTCGTGCCTGCCCTTTTTTGGGTCTTTTCTGCTCTCCTCTTACTATTCCAATTACCTGTATTACTATTTTCTTCCCTTTACTGGTTTCATTACTTGTACATTATACTCGTGCCTATAGTCCCCCCTCTTTGTTTGGAATGCCACATGTCCTTCATCAGATACCACTTCAAATCTTGTGTATCCCCAAAATGTTTCTGAGGTTCTTTTTCCTGATAATCAGACTATACGTAACTTTTCCGTATTTCTTTTTTCTTGCTCTACTTTTCTCAGATTATATGGCATTCTGGGAAGGAAATGTGTCTAATTCTAAAATGGATTTAAATGTGTGGCATTATCAAAATAATATGCAGGAATAATAAAGCATCAGGCACAGTCTGTAGAATTAATATTTTCTTTAAGCCTTATAGTTTCATGATGCAACTGGATCAGAGGATAATGTATTTAACATGGTATTTTGCAGCATTCAGCCTGTTCCAGAGCATTGTCATGAATGCAGTGCTGGTAAAAGTTCCTTTTCATCATCCAGTCATTTCTTTACCACTTATGAAGACTTTTTTCCATCTTGTTCTATGCCTACTGTTGAACTAGATCATATTGGTGGTGGTTATTAGCTTGCAATGGTGGTGAAATGGCAGGGCAATGCCCAGCTCAGTGAGGGGCTGGCCAAGCAACATGCTGCCTGCAGAAACAGATACATACGGATATGTGGGTGGGATTCGTTTGCCTCTGCATTTAGCCAGCCAAAATTAGGTGTCTGGTCTGTCTCTACTGAGAGAGAGAGAGAGAGGGAGAGAGGCACTCCAAAGGATGAGTCACTCCAAGGTACTTTGGAGGCTGAAGGATGAGTACTGACTGATTTTTATTCATTTACTTATTTATTTTTAAGGGAGCAATGTGCACCACCTTCTCTTTCGTGTGGTGCCATTGGGGCAACAGACCATTCCCAAGGTCTGTTCCACAGCTGGATGGATAGCATGGTCACCACCACTTAACATGAGGCTCAGCGGAACAAAGCAAGGGGTTTGGTCTGTCTCTTCCAATGCCAGAATGTGGTACAAGATGTGGCGGAAGCTACATAATGACTTTTTAATTATTTATTAATTTGACTTGATGTTTATTTATTTTATTAAAAAAATAAAATACTAAGAAAAAAAAATCTTTAAATAACCAGCAAAATAAAATGTGGAAAAGGTAAATTAGGTGATAAAATAAATAATTATTTTTCATTTGTATCTAAGTTACGCTGTCTTTACGATGTAGACTTGTCCCAGTGTCATTAAAAGGAAACCAACCTACCTTTTACATAAAAGTTTTAGTAAAAAAAAAGCAAATTCTGATGTGGGAGAGTTAGAAAGTAAAAGTAGTATAGTATAAAAGAGTCCAATTAAATTGTGGCTCTTAGAGGAAAAGTTACCTGAGGTGGTGGTGTTCATTTCCATCAGCAAAAATTTTGAAAACAATTCAAATGTTACAGGATGTTTTTTAGGGAGCGGTAAGTTACAGTGAGTTTTAAGTTACTGTGAACTGTAAGTTGCAGAGTTCAGCTATCAAAGGCAGTGCTTTTTCCTTGTTTGTGTCTTGTCCGTCACAAAAGTATTCAGATTTATAAGAAAAAGGTGATGAAAGATCTGGGTGAGAGTGTCTTCACTTTAAATATTTTAATCCCCGAGTATAGCGTTAGATTGAATCATTAAATTATGTATGGACTCTGACACTGGAATGAATGTTATCTGAAATATTAATAATTTCCCTCCTCATTAGGTCATGTTGGAGAAAGCAGGTTGAAGCGTGAGAGTTGTCTAACTTAATTGTAAACTTTATCTGTTACAAGCCAGGTAATAAAATTCATAGTTAATGTATAACGTATTTAAGAAAATGACATCAAAAACACATGGATCATCCTTAAAGCTATTGTAAGTAGAAATGGAACCTAGTATAAAATATTAATAACAGAAATAAAGGAAAATTCTGAATTATATTTATAAGGCTTATAAGCCTCAGAAGGCTTAAAGAAATTAACGTGTTCAAACCAAGAAATCGTGTAGCTGGAGTTTATGGTTGTGTATTTAGTCTGTTATGACTGATTTTTTTTACCAATTGCTTGCTGCAGCTCATCTTTCAAACTTAACTCTTTACAGTATACAATCTTTGTTCACCTTTTGTAGGTGTGAACATTTTCGTTCCATACTGAATAATGATGATGAAATTATAGAAATGAGTGAATTTTCTTATCCTGTTTACCGAGCCTTCCTGGAGTACCTGTATACAGACAACATTAGGCTCCCTCCTGAAGATGCAATAGGTATTTGCCGTAAATGGAAATAACTCTAGGTTGCTGTTTCTGAAAAGTTGGATTTGTGTGTCATAACAGGGTGAGGAAAGCAGGGCTTGTTAATTTTAGTTTTATTAGCACTTAAATCTTGAGTTTGGCAGGTGTCAGGAAGAAGGGATGTAGTAGCAGGAAACATGCCCAAGGAGAATGAGTGGTGGGGATGCAATAAGATCAAAGATGCAAAGTGTTCAAAAAGAAATTGTTTCTCATATTAAAACCTTTTTTTTCCTTAAAAAGGCGCTAATGCCATACTAAAACGTTTCTGTTTGAGTAGCTGTGACAATTTGATCATGAGTGAAAAGGGAGCTGTTCCCTGCATGAATTTAAGAGGATGTAAGTCACTAATTGATGCCTTGAATAAGATAGAATACAGTGAACAAGAAGACAGAACACTTGCATAGTAATAAAAGGGTCCCTTTTTGATATGTCTTTTGAGGACCTTTAAAAATGCACACATCATCTAGGGGAAAAAAGTAAAACAAGTCTTGGATTAATTCAGCCTAAAACAATAGGGCAATTGATTAATTTGAAAAGAAATATATATGTTTTTCACCAGGATAGTTAAAGCTGTATGAATTTTCACAGGACTGCTAGATTTGGCAACACTGTATAGAGAAAACAGACTGAAAAAGCTTTGCCAGCAAACAATCAAACAAGGCATTTGTGAAGAGAATGCCATTGCTCTTCTTTCCGCCGCTGTCAAATATGAAGCTCAGGTAAGGAGAACTTCTCTTCAGGCAAACAGTTGTTTTCTGAGAAATGAAACTGATTAATATAAACATAACTGCATTTAACTGATGAGGCATGATTACTGCAATGTCCCTTTCTGGCTTCCCAGAAGTTTGTTTTCCCCTTTTTAAGCTGTACAAAAATGCAGCTACTAGTGTTTTCTTCCTGGCCTTTTGGCTTGCACCTGTGAGTCAGGATTCTTAATCTGCTTCCTGCCTTGTTATCTGGCACGGCATGGCATGCAAATTTCTCACTGCCGTTTACTTCTCCACCTTTGGATTTTGCTTTGCCTGTTCATTTCCTGAGCTCTCCACCTGATCATTTTGTCTGCCGGTGTCTGGTACAGTCATTCTGGTACAGCTTTTAACAGGCAGTGGGAGAATTTATTTACACTTGTGCTTATATCAAAAATCCACTTTCACCATGTTGTTTACAGTGAATCGTGCTGACATGCAACGAATTACCTATTGTTATTCCTCTCCCCATATCCTGTCATCTGGTCTGCCCTTGGCTCTGGAATGTTTCGCTAACACTCAACCTGTTATCAGCAGTACTGCAAGTGCTGTTTTTGTAAACGGACAAATACTTTCAAAGACATTTTCCTTTTCCTAACCTCTTAGTGCTATGCTGATTGTGGAAATAATGATGTGGTGGTTTTTATTATTCAAGAAGTCTGTGTATGTATTTTAGACTTAGTAGCCGTTGTTACAACTGAGCATCTTAGTTGAGAAGTCCTCATCTTACTATTCAAGATTTCTTCTGCTTTATAAGAATGAAATTAATACAGCCGGAGAAGATTACCTATTAGAAGAGCCAAAATAAGTAGCTGGTAACAATGTTTTTTAAAAATAATTGTTCTGTGCTTTTGCCTGGCTGTGAAATATAGGATGATGTTTTAAAGCAGGAGAGGCTAGAAGTGTAATACGATGGATTGATAAACACTTCCGGGTGTAGGAAGCAAGTAGAAAGAAAGGACGGAAACAAAAACGGAGTTAAAAATGTTGCAGTAGCCTGTGCTGCATGGAGGCAGCGTACTAGATGAGATGAATTTGTGTAGGAGTCGCAAAGAGGAGGCCGGAAGTCAGTGAGTTTTGTAAATCGAAAGAGGGGATAACATCAGATTAGTAGATAATAAGATTATCAGCTGCTGGTTACAAGGCAGTTGTAACCGAAGTGTCAGTAAGGGAAGGCATGAACAGCTGAGGCAAAGAGGAATTGGACTTTCAATGTGTTGTGGTGGTAGAAGCCCAGCTTATCAGGGAAGACTGGACAGGAAGGGAGGACCAAATGATTTGATTCTCCTAACAGCAGAAGTTTTCATTAAAAGTTTATGCTGGAGTTTCTCCTCTTACAAGCTTTTCAACAGTTTTGAACATTTCCAAAGCAGAAGTACCTTTAGTTGACCTGTCTCAGCGGAAGTAGTTAAAGAGTAGTTAAAGATACATTTAGGTGTATTGTGAAGTAGTAAAACTAGCCTGGACAAAGTACTAGTTTATAATGGCTAAAACACAATAAAAGGGATTGGCTAGATGACTAAATATATGTTGTCCTCCTCTTCCTTCTATGATTCAGTGTTTTATTCTGTACACCTAGTATTCTTTCAAAACATGTAATATTTTAACACGATCATCAGATGATGAATTGGTTCACCTGCCCCAGGTGCAGCATGTGCCAAACTCAGGAGTGCATTGTTGCCCTCCTCCCTACATCGACAGCTCAGAACGGGATATAGTAGAACTGCTTCAGAGAAACGCAGCAAAGACTTCTTTATCAAAGACATGGGATAGTCTCTGTCTAAGGAATCGTGAAGTAAGCCAGGATCTTTTAGCATACTACATTAACATAGCAAAAATTGGTTTGAGAACCACGTGCAGTGTATCAGCACTTCAGTAGAAAACTGTCCAAAGAAGGATTATGAAAGAGGCCTGATATTTTGGAAGTTTGAAAAGATAGAATTAAGTCAATTTTTTGTCATTAAATGTGAACATTGCAAGTGAAAGATTATAATGCTGTGTCATCTGCCATTAACATATCAAATTAACTGAAGACTGGTTTAGCTACTGTGTGCATCTCTTGGGATTAAAAATGCTTGAAAATATTTTGTCCTATCCTCAGAAAACACAAAAAGTTGCTGCTACAAATTATTTTAAAGCACATTTCTAATATACACTGTAGCAAATATTAGGTTAATCATCTTCTATATAACAGAATTAAAAGCCAGTATTTCTTGAAACTGCAAAATTAGTGATCAGAATTCTATGATATCTATGGTCCTCTTCATAGATCAGTACCAGAAAAGGCAGCCGCTGTTCATTTTATTTAAAGTAAAAGTTTGCACATTGACTGTAAAGCAACCCAGGTTCTGGCAGTAGCATTTCAGAGGTCTGCTGAAACTTAAGCTGTCAGTGTCTTTGATTTTCTACATTTTTTATGTCCTTTACGTTTTTTTATTTCTTCTACTACTACTCTTATTCATTTTCCTGCTTTTTCAGCACTTTTTGATGAGAGATACAATTTACTTCTGTGCATTGTTGCTACCTTATTTCTTTTTAAAGGACATTTTATGCCGCTTGGCCTCTTGTTAAAGCTTTAGGTAAATCTTGACAGGGGCAATAGACTTGAAACATTCAATCTAAGGAAAAGGTTTCAAAGGGAAATGCACAGGTATTCTGCTAAATTTCTTTCTACTACTAAGCCCTGGCTGCAATGTTTGTGTAGTTAACATAGAATAAAACTTAAATGGATTAAGAGACCTCCTTTTGCTGTGACCCTTGAAGAGTTTATAGATCATGGATCATACTGCCAATTTAGGCTTGCCTCGCTCCTGCCTCCAGCTCTGCTTGCTGCAGAAGGTAATTAATTTTCCTTCAACAGCAAGTTGTTGCATAGGAACCAGCTAAAGGGGATTGACCCAGTGCATGGAGAGAAGGATGGCCACTGTTGTGAGGAGTTCGAGTGTGCGAAATTTGCTGTGTGAAATCATGGTTGTATGGCCTAATCGCTTGTACCTATCCCGTGCTGAACATCTGAACATCCTGTTACAGCAAGACCAGGACAAGACAGAACCATTTTTGCTATCTAGGAATCCCAGTTCCTAGATAGGGACACACAATTCCTAGGTTCGCCACAAAAGACACAGGTATCCTAACATCCGGTTTGTGTTCAGTGAGCATCATCGAATATTACATCACATTTTGCTTTTATTTTCAACAAGACTAGGATATCTGCTGTTCTTCAGAGGACCACTACTGAATTCAGTACAGGGAGGAAAAGAAAGGAGTTACTGATGCTCTAGTAGTTGTATGTGGGGAAAGTTGATGGTTTCACTTATTAATAACTTTTCTAATGAGCTCAGTAAATGTGATGGAGTTCTAGAGTTGATTTAGGTGGCTACTCCTGTTTTCTCGGGGGGGTGTTTATTGAATAGTTTGTATGAACAAATTTCATCCTATCATTTGTGATCTAGTCAAGCTGATCAGAAAAAGGACTGGTAATCTGGTATATTCTCTGCTAATTAAATGACAGATTTGAAACAGAAAAATAATAATAATTTTGCTATCAGTCATTCATATTACAAATTACCTCAATTTGTTCCTAGGACTTGGAAGAATTTTGCTTCAGATTTTGCATAAACCATTTAACTGTTGTTACACAAACTCAAGGCTTTGCAGAAATGGACCACGACCTCCTGAAAAACTTCATTAGCAAAGCAAGCAGAGTGGGAGCATTCCGAAATTGAGGTCTGACTACCACCAAGCTGAAGAGCACGTCCTCTTCCCTCCCGGAAATACTTCTCCCTTGGAGAACTTATCCATGGTCAGAATGTGCAAAGGTTTGGAAAGAGAGACTCAGTGGCCATCAGCTTAGGAAATGTGTAAAAGTCTGCTAACATATAGGTTTCGTAAAGATGGCTACAGTGTAGATGTATGGTGTGAGTTCATGGCCAGCAGTCAGAATTTAACAACAAAAATCTAATGCCGTTACTACCCTTTCCCACTTAAAGTCAAGCAAACTAAGCTGTCATTATCTCTTCTGTCTGTTTTGAGCTTTTTCTTTTTTTTCTTTTTTTTTTAAACAACCTGCATTTGGATTTTATGGGACAGTGACCTGTTTGCTGCTAAAACTTTCATAGTATACTTTTAGCACCAAACTAAGTTAATATGCCATAGTGGGCTTCTTTTTGCCTGGTTTATCATCTGGTAAAGATACAAACTTGTTTTTCTGAACATATGGTAAAGTAATATAAATTCTTTAGGATGAGAGGCTTTCTGATTCCGGTAGGAGGATACGTCTCACCTGGTGTTTATTTGGAGTGTAAATACGTAAGCCATGAAGAGCTTCAGCTGGATATTACAGTTTTGAGTTCCTGGCACTTATGTCCATTGTTCTAGACAGAATTAAAAGAATCTTCCTTTCCATTACACCAAGCACATTCCCTGGCACCCCAATGGGCCAGGAAGCAGTCACAGCATTTGTCTGGACGTGAATTATTGTGCTGTTTTGGTACTGAGAAAACCATCTGGTTTCTTGTTACCAAGAAAAAGAAACCCAAACAAAATCTCAAGGAAAGGGAAGTTCCACTTGAGGTTTGTTTATTCCTGTCTTACTACCTATCCCCAGATAGATCACCTTAAGAAAAACGGAGAAAAAGATAGTTTTGAAGTGATAAAATGGGTCTTACAATTAAATCGTAAAACTCACATTATTTTCCATGTGGCAATAAGGACACCTTGTCCACATACATTGTTTCAGGTTCTCCTTTGGTCAGTGCTGCGAGGTGACCATACCACTTACTTTACATGCCTGTTTTAGGTGAGAGGAGTTGCTCTCTAGACATGCCCCTCTCTCTCATCACTGACCATCGGGGGGACCAGATGGCTATGGTAGAGTAGATGCTTAATTTCTAACTGGCTGAAGTGAGTTAGGATGAAACCCCACTCAGTGCTGCACGGAGGGAGGTTTGCCCCATTACAGAAGATGCTGAGCTCGTGAAGCATTTACTGGAATTTTGTAGTAGGCAACTGTGAATTGACCCTGAGAAATTATTTCTCTTAAAATTTTGACTGGGTGAAATGGCTTTAAGTGCCTTTTGTAGTATTTTACAAATGGAGAAGGCAAGAAGCTGGATAACCAGGCTCAGTACACTAATATAATTAGTCATGCGACCTTCCTTCAGATCCTTGCTATGCCACAGAATCCTTCGATGACTTTTTCTAATCCTCAAATGTGGTTTCTAAGAACCTAATTCCCTTAAATGATCACAGCCTCATTTCCTCATTTCTAAAGTAGAAATAACTGTGCTTTATTATATTGGAGGATCATTTCTCAAACAATCCTGTTCCGTGAGGAGGAGGAGGAAAAGGAGACGCATATCCTCAGAGAAGAAGATGAGAAGTAGTGAGTAGTGCCTCTCTTGACATCAGTCCCTGCGGGTGTGAGTGGAAGGCTGAGGCATGCAGACAGCAGAATTTACTTAGGAAGAGGGCCATAAGCACGTTATTTTGGAAAATGCTGTAGTAAAAAATTACTTGTGTTTGAGACTTTTGCCTCAGACTCTCACTAGAAATATAGTGGATTATCTATTGCTAGCAAGTGTGTTCTGCCACCCTCTCAGTGATTAGTACAACTTCCTCCAGCAGCGTAAGTTGTGTCAGTATTTCATATTCAAACAGAACTGGTCAAAAACTTTCCAGTACATAATGCAGTTTCATCAAAACCACAACTTCCCTGGGGGATAAGATCAGTTTTGACAAGTTTGTGCTGAAAAGCACTTGACTCAGGCACACAGACAGCGGTTAATGCAGGCAGTAAAACAGTATCATGGTAGGGCACAACTTTACTGCAAACCTTGTATGATATAGCCCAGCACAAATCATACCAAAGCACAGACACGGGCAATTCTACGTAAGCCAAGGCTGGGTAATTCCAGATGTTTTGATTAAGCCAGGGATGGCTGGAGTGAAGTCTGCCCCTTTCAGTCCTGGGCTCAAGAACTGCCAGATTCACCTGCCAGCATTGTCTTAGCCGTAGCAGCACACAGAAAGAGGGTGTACCACCACAGCCCGACCTTTGGGTAGCAGCTTGTACTGGATCCTGCCCCACATACACAGCACTGCGCTGGCACGCAGCCAGCCGCACTAGGAGATGGAACCAGCTGGGCACCCGTGCCACCTGCAACGGCCTTTCGGTCACTGGCCTCCGCAAGAAACGTGCAAAGAGAAAGGTCTCTCCAAATGTTTCTGTTGTTCTACTTAAAGAACCAAACCAAAACTGTAAATGTGAAATGGGTGTTTTTAACTCAACATCTGATCAAAAACATTCTCTGCTCAATGAAGAGCCTGGCTCCCTGGAGACACCACTCCCTGAAGTGATAGCACTGGAGCGTGATGCCACTCTCCTTAAGCTGGCTCGAGTTCATAACACGGTGGTTCGACAACTACTGTCGTCAAAATGGCATGCTTTCTTAGCAAGGCATTTTGGGCTTAATATAACCAATAGTGCCATTTTTTTTCAATTTATTTCCTTCCTGCTCATAATCGCCAACCTACTGTACACGTTGAAGCCTAGCTGCAATTTCAGAGTAATTGACAAAGCCTGTAATTTTGAGAAAAAGCATCTCTGGAGTGAATGAGGGCGATTCTAAAGATCCAATGTGTCAGCGTTGGCTTTTATTCATGCAATATGTATCATCTGACCTGGATGTGATAGCATTACGTCCCTAGAGACATTTATTTATTTAATTTTTTTAACTTTCATTTGCATGCACTTTCCTTGGCACTTAAAGGTCAATGTTTAAAAAAACATACTGGCTTAGGTGGTTAAATGTTGATGCATGTATATAAATATGTGCTTGAAAACCCAATCATGGGATGTTTTAGAAGAAATTAGGGGTGCATTTTACCATTGTGAGATGGTCTGCAACAAACTTAAGTTTGTGGATCTTGTAGGTTAAATACTTTACTAAGTATTAAGTATGCAAGTATTGTTCTGTTTTAGGACACCACAGACGATAAGGTATTTGCTAAAAAGTGAAAATAAGGTCAAGCATAAACTGTATCTGGGGTTTACATAGAGAGGGATGTCCCACTTTGCAGAAGGGGAACCAGGTGGCTAACTTTGTGAATCAAATGGAATTTGAAAGAAAAAAGACATGACAGGGATAGGGTCATTTAAAGGTTAAGTTACTGAAGCTAAGAGCCAGCACGGCATTGTCATCTAGTACCCACCTCTGGAGTTTTGTTACAATGCCTGATGATAACTATGTAAACTGCTGGTTTTATATGATCTGAACAATTTCCATGGGCTTTCCTTGTAGAGCAAAGCATTTAATTACCCCATAGAGACAGGCCTCATTGGCTACCACCTAATGATGTAGAAAGCTTACAGCCTGAACATAAAATTATGTTTTGATTTCTTGTTTCTTTATAAACTTGCCTGGTTTTAATAGACCATTAATAAAAATGTAATATTTAAAAGTATGAGTGGGATTTTTTTCCTTTCTTTTCAGTAAAAGTGAAGAAAGTCTGACGCGTGTAATCTGAGTTGACTATGTAGTTAGTAGTGTGGGAAAAAAAGAAATAAAACAGAGATAGTATTTCAAAGAGATATTTTAAAGACTATTTGTGTTCTTCAGGAAATAACTGCCACTAGATAAAGTATCTGTACGCAGAACGAAAACCGAGTCTGCAATAAAAGAGCTGGAGAATTTGCGTAAGTGTATTTCCACCTTTCAAATAAATTAATGCCCTAGTGACTTAATGATTAATAAAACTGTCCTCAAAACTCCAAGAATTGTTTTTGAAGCAAATGTACATTATGACCAGCTTATTTGTTACATTTTACAATATTTCAACTTGTACTTTGCACCAGCATCACACAGCTGTAATCTTCTCCAGCTCTTTCACGTTTGACACAGGGATCTTCCTGCAGCCACTCCTGTACCTGAAAACATGCAGGGTACACATCCTGTGACATGTAAGAACAAGCAGCGTTTGGAAACAGGGGACAGCAGCCCGAGATTAAGGTATAAAACTGCAAATAAAGAGGCTGGGAGTCAGCTCATCCGTCTCGAGATGGCTACACAGCCAAGCCAGTAGATTAAATTCCCCTTAGCGTCAATGGAGAGAAACAGGCCTCTCCGAGATGCGTTTCACATGACCTCATTTTACCCGTACAAGTTTTACAAGACAAGTTTTCTCCACAAATGTACGTTTCTCCACTGTGACTACAAGAGTTTGATCAGTGGTGCGATCTTTACCATTAGGCACCTGAAACGCCCATCCCATTTTCTGTCCAACTCTTCTGCTCTGAATTCCAATTCTCTTTTTTCCTGAAACAGTGTCAATATTCCAGCCCGTTTTGAATACAAGGTCTCGCTATAAGAAAGGTACTCTCAAACACAGTAAGATTTTCAAAGCTGATTAAAAGCCGTTAGTTTCAACACACATTTATTTGCATATGTATCTGCTTAAAAATAAGACTCTGAAAATGTGTTTTCAGAGGGGGCGGGGACTGGCAAGTCAGCCGGTGCACTTTGTGCTCTAAGCATTGTCACGAACGCCGATGCTATAAATAGCACTGCAAGTTCAGCAGTCATGAGTCACAAGGCACCTATGGACTCTAATAAAGCAATGACAGGGAGCCTGCGAGGCTGACGTGCCTACAGCCAGATACCCGGCCCAGAAAGCCACGGCGGCTTACACCGGAGTTTTGACATCCTGGGCTGTTTTCAGCAGCTCCGAAAGCAAAAGAATCGATTACGAAAAGCAGGGTGGTGAAATGATGGGGACGCTTCTAAATGCTTCTCTGCAGGACTGCCTCAAGCACCTCTACAAGGGCTGTGACAGCATCCCAGACCACGATACGGGCCTGCGTCTGCCAGAAGTGTTACCAACGGTGACCCTGGAACAAAAGGGCGGGTGAGAACATTTCCAGAACGTCCTACGGAAACTTCTGAAGGTAACGCCAAGCCCAACAGCGCAACTATTTGGACCTCTGCACCAGTGGGGAATCACTGGAGGTGGAGTGACCTCTGCTTGTACCAGCTGCAGAATCATGCTGGAGGCGTGATACAGCAGGACATCATTACCGTATGAAGTCGCCTTCTCATCTAATAAAAGAAAATTACCAACTATAAATCTTTTAAAAGCTATTTTATTTATCTTGAAAGGAGAGAAACTGATTAGTTGTATAAAATATTATCATACATTTGATGTAAAGCCTTCAGTCTGTCTGAACAAAAAAATACGTTGTCACAGTAAAGAAATAATACAACTGCTTAGGTCCTGGACTCTGTAACGTCACCCCTCTAGCCAAAGGGTCGTGGAAGAACCTCAACAGCTGTAACAGAGCTTACAGTCGGTGTACCCCAATGTTAACCTACCTTCTGTCTGTAAAACTGCAAAAGGTGAGAAAATAAACATAAGGTACTCTAACACTTCTGTACGTTTTTCAGGAAGAAAGTTCAAGCCATATTGAGACTAAAAAAATAACTCAATTTTATTTTAAAATTCATTGACAAATCAGTGTGCTGCTCGTAGAATTTTTAGTAGCTCTAGGATTAGCATCCGTTCAAGGCAAGAACTGATCTTTAAAATGTACTAGTGTAAGTATTCTAGGTTCAGCTAAACAATTTCTAAATAAGCTACCTGGAGAAGATGTTTTAAAATGTTTGCATAATGAATAGCAGGCTTGTCTACTATAACTGTTTTAATTTAAGTAGCTGCGAAAGCTAAATTTCATAAAAATGGGTAATTTTAAAGCAGGACTTCATTTATTTACTTACATTTTAATCCACTGGAAGTAAAATGTGCTTTCCTTAACTGACTATTTTGCAAACCCTTTATCATTGCAAGAAAAATGCCAGTATCTGAATCGGTAACTTACAAACATGTAAGCTGAAAAAAAGTTGTGGGGTTTGGGTGGGGGGTTTTTTTTGCTAGTTGTGAACAGTTCACAAGTTGCCTATTAAACTCTGCCTTTTCAGTAAAAGAAGGCAGACTGATTTTCCCAACATGGGCTCATCAAGTTCGGCTTTTGTGCAGTCGCTGCAGTAAGGCCAACGGGAGATGCCCTGTGCTTTTAGAGACCAGGCTACTCTTACCTGGAACCCAACTGGAGACACTCAGCTTTCAGCTAGAGGAAACAGGTTTGGTGCCTGTTTCTCAAGCTGTTTGGCTTGGCTACAGCTAGGTGGAAACTTGAAGAAATCAGGAAAATTCTACATCATTAGAATTTTGAAATCTTACGTGTACCAGGTGGGATGCAGGTTTGGGGTTCTTTCTTCTTTTTAATAATTGAGATTTTCCAAAATACGAAAGTGCACATCGAGTACTCTGCATACGGGAAGAAGCTTCGGCTTCTGGGAGGAATCTCTGCGGGATTCATATTCCATGAAATTCAAACCGATGGACAGCGTACCTGCCCTCTGAAGTTACACTGAGGCGAGAGCTGGGGAAGGAAAACTACAAAACGCTAAATATCGGTTTCAGTAGTACGGCTCCATAATGAGTTCACTTTGAATTCAGGTTGTACTGCTAATGCGAGGCCCTGACTCTGCGAGGTCTATGACTGCTGTGCAGTTTAAGTTAATGGGAATTTGATGTGCTAATTATATACAGAGACAGAAAGCTTTGCAGTATCTGGCCCCTCATTTTCAAAATTTGCAAGTACTGAAAATCTAAAAAATGAAATCTAAGAAACAAAATTAGTGCATTTCAAATCATTCTAGCTAACATTTTGTCTTTAGACAGAAAAATTCAATCCAAGCAGACTGAATTGGCTTAAATCAGTAATGTTGCAATAGGAAACTAAGACACCTTCCAAGTCTGTTTTTAAAATCCTCAAAAAAATATATAAATTAAATTCAGTGGCTTACATTGTATATATGCTACATCATAAGGCAAAGTATCATGAAAAACATGTAAAAATTTAAAAAGTCCAAATGCTTTCAACTAGCAGTTCGGAATAAAAAGCAACTAAAAAGGCAACTCAATTAATGAAGGCTGTAAAACAAAAACAAGCTAAGAGGGCCTGCAGTGCAGCCCCTGGTCCTGAGAAGAATCTCACTTTTCTTCACTGGCTGAGGTATCGCTTCCATCGTTCAGCTTCTGCTTTTGCATTCTTGTTCGAGTAGATGCTAAAAAGAAATTAAATACTTTCTTCAGAATTACTTCGGACATGATTATTTATCGTAAAAATTGGTAATGACACGAGGAATTGAATTACACTATTCTAAATAAAACAAATCCCACATTTTAAAAGTAAACACGTAATTCTGAGTTGCTTCAGCAATTCCTGCTCAATCTCACACATCTTGAATTCGTTCCACCCATTCACTGAAGTTCTCACTGCTTCTGTACCCTCACTTGGCCTGTTTCCATCCTCAGGGCGGGCAGATGGACCGCTCCACGCAGGGATCTCGTCTTGTTGCCAGGCAGATGCAATGGGCTGAGCAGTCCCCAACGTCCCACAGCCAGCCTGCAGAGGAAATGCCTTTCCCCCCGCAGCGACACACACTAACACAACTGGACATGAGATAGAACATCCCTTCTCAACCTCTGCCACAAGCAAACACGGGAACACTTCCCCTATCCTAAAATAAACAAGAGGTGCCTAGGTCTGCCCTCATACCTATCTTGATGAGCAAACACTCGCTAGGTAAGAATTTTTAATGGGCAAATCTGCTCGGCTACAGAGCTCAGATTCCACCAGAGAGTGAGAATGCCTGGTCAGACCAAGTGTGTTCCTTCTCAGGAGTGGAAAATACAACCCAGATGTGGGGACGGGGCCGTTTTGCTTTTCGTGAGCTAGATTTGAGTTTCATTTGACAAACAGAAAAGTGATCCCATAAAATCCAGAAGAAATGCTGATCCGCGGTAGAAGAAAAAGCAGTCTCAGGCATGTTAGTATAGAAGACAGCAAAGCAACATACAAAATTACATACAATTTTCCTGTGTATATAATTTTCCTTTACTATACTGTAATCGCCTAAAACGGTGTTCTGGTCAACTAAATGCTGCTGCAATTACTACTGATTTCTACCCGCAAGCTCTCAGCTAAGGCTCTGTCACTGGAACAAATGGGAAAGCCTTGGCAAGCATTTAATACCATTTCAAGAATTCTAGCGTTTAGGAAGAATGTGTCATCCTCATTTTCTTATTCACATGTAATACAGCATCTTCTATGCTGCTGTGCCATTTAATATCCTCAAAACGGCTTTTGAGGATTTCCATTTTATAATCTGCATTTTCAAGATTAAATGGAGCAAGTACAAAAAACTAAGCAAGTTACTGAAATGACATCTATGTTGAGCAATATTTTTATCTGAGTGGGCATAAACTGTTTTATCCAAGGCACTCATTGCTGTGCAATTAATGAAAAAATAATACTCACTCATTTCTGCAAGCTTTTGTTGGAACTTGGACTCCTGGGGTAGGTGTTTGCTGCAGACAGAAAGCATATGATTAAGCGGAAGTTAAAAAAAATAAGTTTTTATCCTCATAACCTAACTTTAAATCAAGGTTAGTTCATTTCAGTGTTCTTGCCGTCTCTTACAAAGATGCAAGCTCTTTTTTCCTCCACACTAAACAATCAAGAGTTGCTTGATTTCTCATAGGTCTAAAAAGTTTGGGTTTTGTTTTTTAAAAGACTGACTAAAGACGACAGCATGGTTTAGCACTCAGCAGTAACACTGGATCGCTGGATGTACAGGCACCACATAAATCCTTGCTTGTGACATCAAAGCATCTAATGGAGAAGTATTATGTTACCATCTCTCATTTAATATACTTAATAAAGTTCACAAATTAACAGAAGTTAGGATGTCAGGAAGAAGTTAGGATGGAAGGCCCCGAGAACCAAATATACGCGAGTTTACTGAAAAGCAGAGAACTATCTCTTACCTTCCATCTGCTTCGTCCTGCCCTTCTATATCAAAGCGCAGCCTCTTCAGTGGCTTAGGAGCAGCGCTTACTTCTGCGCTGCGTTTTAGCTGGCAGTCACTGTTGCACACCATCTGGTTTATTTTTTGAAACTTTTCAGAAGTCTGAATTTACAAGAAAATAAGGAAAGAATTGCCAATAAATCCTGAAACTACTCAAACTTTCCAGATTATCCACTAAAAAAAATTAGGAGTTCTAAAACTCTGCAGTTTAAGAACTCTATTTTCTTTCAAAGCAACTAAAATAAAACGCAAAACATTTTATAAGTGAAGTCTGGGTATTTGAAAGGAGTTAACAGGATACCCCTCTAATCTTTGTGCTTACAGATTCCATAAAACGCTACGTTAAATTAGAGACACTCTGGCCAGTTCTACAGGTGTCAGCAGGCTACCCCATTCCTCCAAAAGTTACATGCATTCAAGACCAGACATTAAAAATGTTAAAACTCACCCCAAATGATTCACCAATCGACACCAAAATTCTGTCAAATGAAGAAGAGAAGTGTTTAAGATTACGCTACATTTAACAATGATAGATGCATCCACTAATTTGCACAGCTTAGCGTAAGACATTAACAAAGTCTCTTCCCTTCTCTCCGCATTAACAGTGCAAACCCAGACTGCATTTCACTATGTTGAGACCGTCCACGTTTCCATTCGGGCCAGTGAATGCTGAATTGCCAAATCAACCGTACCATGCAGATGGAAAAGAAACTGTGGCGTGAAAGAATCAGAGGCCCCCACAGTCCGTCCCGTATCAGCAGGAAGACACTTCAGTGCTGGGTACCCAGATAATCATCCTTTTATCATTACCTTTAGGTGTTTGGTAATCAAAACCATGCAGGACTTCAACCTAAAATGCACACAGTGGGCCAGGTGCAATGGGACTCACTTGATCCTAGTTTGAAAAACCCACTGGAGACTTGCACATTTGCCGTCATCCTCGTCTGCTAAGAACTAGTGACCAACGGTTTGAAATCTTCTGCTCAGTCAACTGAACACTCTGAACCATTTTGTTCCAAAAAAGTATTTTCTCTTTAAACAAGTGTACAAAGCTCATCTATGTTTTTCAGGAGTGTGATCCAGAGTCAAGCCAACAACATTTAAGCAACTAGGTCAGAAAACCCCTCTTGGATGTGACTATTCTGAATACAAAAAAAAGAAAAAAAAAGAAAAAAAACCCCCAAACTCCTTGAGCACGCTGACTCAACTGAAACAGAAAAGCGCTCAAAGATGAATAAAGATTCCAAATACAGGACAAAAACTTTTAACCAGAAAAGATATAATAACCACAGACTACTGACAAACTAGACTGCGCCGTTTTCTAATTTGCTTCCACTAAAACCCCCAAAATACCTTTAATTTAGTCAAAGAAATGCTTGTCAGCAACCTACCTAGACCTTGGAGTCATCTTTGTGGGTGACTGAAACCCATCGGAGAATTTGTATGGGCTCTTCAAGGGTGAGATGTAGATGTTATTGCCAGCAGGGACACGCCGAGGAGAGTTGGAAAACTGGTACGGGCTGCGAGGAATGTGTGGGATAGGTGACAGAGTGGGAGGCTATAAAAATAATAAAAGAATAGTAAGGTTTTATTGTCTATCTATTCCTGTTCTATTATATAATTAATACTGAACACAACTAGCAGCTTACCCTGTTGGAGGCATACTGCAAAATGTTCGTTTTCAGCTTCTGCATAAACACCAAGTTGTAGAAAAAAAAACAAAAAAAAAACAAAAAAAAAACCCCAAACTCCTTGAGCACGCTGACTCAACTGAAACAGAAAAGCGCTCAAAGATGAATAAAGATTCCAAATACAGGACAAAAACTTTTAACCAGAAAAGATATAATAACCACAGACTACTGACAAACTAGACTGCGCCGTTTTCTAATTTGCTTCCACTAAAACCCCCAAAATACCTTTAATTTAGTCAAAGAAATGCTTGTCAGCAACCTACCTAGACCTTGGAGTCATCTTTGTGGGTGACTGAAACCCATCGGAGAATTTGTATGGGCTCTTCAAGGGTGAGATGTAGATGTTATTGCCAGCAGGGACACGCCGAGGAGAGTTGGAAAACTGGTACGGGCTGCGAGGAATGTGTGGGATAGGTGACAGAGTGGGAGGCTATAAAAATAATTAAAGAATAGTAAGGTTTTATTGTCTATCTATTCCTGTTCTATTATATAATTAATACTGAACACAACTAGCAGCTTACCCTGTTGGAGGCATACTGCAAAATGTTCGTTTTCAGCTTCTGCATAAACACCAAGTTGTAGAAGACTATAATGGAGTCATACTGTTCTTCCCTGATAAGAACACGTTTGAAAGTCTACATAGAGTGAGAAAATCATACACAGTAAAAAAAAAAAAAAAAAAGACAATTTTACATTTGACAAACTCATAAAGCCATTCAAAAAAATCTGTGTTAGATACAAGCTAGGATGGCATATGTATTGTATGCAAGCCATTGTAATTACTATTTAGAACTGTTTTAAATTGTTTCTTTTTTCCAAACGTGTGAACATCAGTAGAGGCACCTACTTAATTAACTGACACAGCCCCTTAGTGCGAATGCAGTTCATCAGTACTTTAACAACGTTTTCCAAATTTAAGCTCCATTTACTTTCACACACACAATTGTCAAAAAAAGGCTTCGCCACTGTGCACACCTTGCAAGGCTAAAAAAGTCATTACTGACCTGATGTTCAAGTGTAGTTTGGGGGTTTTTTTGTTTTAGACAAACAGAGAGAAACAATTAGTTTATAGCATTTTTATGGAAGGATGACATTAAAGAATTTCCATACCTCTTGGTTTGTGTTGGGAAGCTCCTTGTATGCCGAAACTATTATTTTAAATCTAAGATCTACATTCTTTACTTTGCATATGCCATACATGGAACACATCATAATCTATTAAAGAAACAAGAAAAGACAACCGGAAATGCAGAAAATGAATTCAGCTTCTTCATTTCAAGTTAAGAAATCAATTGATAAGCTTTCTATTACTGATTGTGCTCTGCAAACTAGCATGCAACTCAACTACATAAGAACTTCCAGAATATAAGTCAACTACTGTTCCCTCCATTTCTGTATGACAATCAACTAATTGGATCTGGTATCTTCTCAAACTCATGTCACATGCTGCAATTTTAGGGTAGAATAACAAAACATTTATCAGCCACACGTATTGTCTTCCCAAAGAAAATCAGTATTTTCTATTTTCTTATGCAAATTATTAGAAAATTTGGTGTGTCTTCATTATTTTGAAAATAGCTGTAAATGGTATTTGAAGATCCCACAGTAACTGCCAGTACTTAAGAAAACTGAGATGATAGACTTCACTTTAAATTAATTTCTCCTTTGAGTGATCAGTAGAGAAATAAAAACTCAGATTACAATTTCTAATGGCTAAAGAATGTATAAGGAACATTTTGTTAAGGAGAGTCTTTTTAAACGTTTTAAAACTTTTTTGTCAATGTTACCTGGTCCAAGTGCCTGTCTCTCATAAGTTCATACTCATTTTGCAGGGTGTGCTGGAAGAGGGTCCAGATCAAGGGTTCCAGGTCAGGATGTTCAGAGAGAAGCCGAAAGAACAGGGTATGTAGTCGAAGATAGGCCAGTAGATACACTTGAGAAAGAGAGAAGAAAAATAAACTGAAATGGTAATAATAGGGGTATACAAAATAAAAGGAGCATGATGGAGGATGGACAGCAATTAAACGTTCAGCGTCTCCCACTACAAGAATTACGAGCCATCAAATGAAGGTAGTGGAAGCCAGGTTCCAAATAAATGGGAAAGATTCTTCAAACAACAGGTAGTGGACACACGGAAGTCCACACCAAACAATGCTGCACACGTATGTCTATGTTGATTCAAGAAGATGCTGCAATTAGGGTAGAATAACAAAACATTTATCAGCCACACGTATTGTCTTCCCAAAGAAAATCAGTATTTTCTATTTTCTTATGCAAATTATTAGAAAATTTGGTGTGTCTTCATTATTTTGAAAATAGCTGTAAATGGTATTTGAAGATCCCACAGTAACTGCCAGTACTTAAGAAAACTGAGATGATAGACTTCACTCTAAATTAAGTTCTCCTTTGAGTGATCAGTAGAGAAATAAAAACTCAGATTACAATTTCTAATGGCTAAAGAATGTATAAGGAACATTTTGTTAAGGAGAGTCTTTTTAAACGTTTTAAAACTTTTTTGTCAATGTTACCTGGTCCAAGTGCCTGTCTCTCATAAGTTCATACTCATTTTGCAGGGTGTGCTGGAAGAGGGTCCAGATCAAGGGTTCCAGGTCAGGATGTTCAGAGAGAAGCCGAAAGAACAGGGTATGTAGTCGAAGATAGGCCAGTAGATACACTTGAGAAAGAGAGAAGAAAAATAAACTGAAATGGTAATAATAGGGGTATACAAAATAAAAGGAGCATGATGGAGGATGGACAGCAATTAAACGTTCAGCGTCTCCCACTACAAGAATTACGAGCCATCAAATGAAGGTAGTGGAAGCCAGGTTCCAAATAAATGGGAAAGATTCTTCAAACAACAGGTAGTGGACACACGGAAGTCCACACCAAACAATGCTGCACACGTATGTCTATGTTGATTCAAGAAGAGTCTGAACAAGCATTTGGAACACAAATCTACTGAGAGTTACTAAGTGCACATCACAAAAGGCTCAGGAAAACCCCTGAGCTGGAGAAAGTCAAAGCTTGGGAAAGCATTCAGGGGAAGCAACATATATGCTTGCCCATTTCTTAAGCTTCCCGTGACATCTATTTATGGTCACTGCTGGAAAAAGGATACTATGACAGAAGAACCCTCCATCTGAGCCCATATGGCCATTCTCACAATCAGTAGATAAGTGTTCAGTTCAATCTTGCAGCGTGCAGAACGCGTGCGTTAACCTGCTGGCATCGTTTTACTATTTCTTCCAACGGCAGCTGAGGGTTTGCATGGTGTTCACTACAGATTCTATTATAATCTTTTAAGAAATGTTGAGCTCCAAAACCCAAAAAGGATAAACAACGAGAGGTAACTTTGCAATTTCAGCATGTACTAAAGTAACAAACCTTTTTTGTAGAACAGAGAGAGGGAGGTAGATTTCTGTGGTTTCTGTGTTTGGGGGGTCGCAGCTGGCTGACCATCTGGAGTGGAAGTAGCACTTAGAGGAGGTGCTTTCTTCTTAGGAGATCTCACAGGAGAAAGATAGCTGGAGATTCAGCATATATTAAGCATTTCAACATCACAGGATAAAGGAACAATTTTATATGAATAATACTTGCAGGAACTCTTCCCCCATTAGAAGAAATTAATTGCTACAGTAACCTGTTATTCCCCTATCAGGAATTAAAAAATCAAGTTATTGATTAAATACCTGATAAAGGGACTTAATTATTCCTAGACAAGTAAGAAAACAGTTTGCAACTACAAGTTTGATAGGGCTTGGAAAAAAAAATTTCAGAATTTGATTTAGCTAAATTTACATGTATAATAAGCAGCGGCAAATACAACAGTTCAACAAAACCTAAGTACCAAGCCTAACAAGTAGGAAAACAGAATACAAGTGGATTTAAATATTAAGGGCAGTATTAACTTCACATTTTACTAGACCTCAAGCACGCATGTCACTTACAGGTCTGCTGCAGTGTGATTATGTTGGAGAGGCAGATTGAGAGTGGAAGGGGGCTCAGGCTGATCAGTTTGGCCTTCTCGTTCTTTTGACTGCTTGATAAGATGGAACAGAGGTGACCCCTAGAAAAATGACAGTAACAGTACATTATACTGAGAACAGACAACCACACTGGATGGATTTTGTTCCTTCTTCTCTAAAAACAACCCCCAAACTATGATCCTAAACAGAAGATTAATCCTTTGAAATACTTCAGAACACTCATATTTTGCCAGATAAATTTGAACTATTTAACTGACCAATTTTACCTATTAAATACCAAACACTTTTTCTGTTTCAATAGCAGTCCATTAGATATAGGCTAACTGCAGAGTTGAGACATAGTTGTATTCTAGAGTCTCTTATTACTTCCTATTAAACAACCATTCCTGAAAAGAAGAGCAAACAATACAAGAAAATACATAAAAGGTCACATTTCCAGAAAAAAAACCACATTGGTGACTAAAAGTTACTGCTGTATCTACTGTCAATCCATTTCTGCTACAACATCTACCCAATATTTTACACATGATAATATACAAACACGGTCATAACTCATCTAACTGCACTGGGGACTATTCAGATCTCTACAGTATCACGTTCCAGAGCTACCTCTGGCAAGAGTTATAGTCCCTCACATTAAGTCTCTGCCCTCATGCCCAAAAACAAAAAACATTTTTATTTTAGGTCAATTATCAGTATTTTAGGCAAGGCAGCTGGAATACATCTGAACCTACTAAGAGCTTGAGGTAGGAGGCGATGCAGGGAGGATGTAAGTGGAATGGAGAAGGTTCTGGCTGAAGCAACATTAGTACTACTGCTGACATTAGTAATAAACAGCAGCCTTACAGAAACAAAATGTCAGGCTTTTGCTGCCTGTGTGTGATGTACAGAGTAGAATTATGCTGAAACAGCAAGACTGCATGGGAAGATATTTTGGTACCGTATTTATAATTAATTTTGAAAACACAGGGTTGCTGGCTTCTAGTTTTTTATTTTCTTTAGACAGGAGACTCAACCTAGAGCATAAAGTTGCCTTCCAATAGTGCAGCATCAGAACTCCAGAAGCAACAGAAGAACATCCAATTAGCAAATATCTGCCTTCTCGGGGGGGAAAGCAGTGTCCATAAGACTGGGAATGAAGTGGGCAAAACCAGACATGCAGGATTTTCCTCCAAATGATCCCCTCAAAGACAGCAGTAAAATCAATGAGCTCAACACTTTGTACATAATGCATCGTCTGATTGTCCAAGGTCTATTTGATCCTACAAATGCATGTTACTAATATTAAGATATGATGGCACAGATGACAAATCTGTAGCTGCAATAACAAACAGGAGCATAGCATGCATGTAAAGCAAGCTGCATCACCTGGCTAAGGCAATAAGAAAAGGCCTAGTAAAACTCGACTAGATTTACTAGAATTAAAACTAGCATTAAGACTTTCCCCATTTAGCCTTATTTCTAAAAAAAGAACACTTTTCTTCTGAAGTGCAACAACTAAAAATTCAGAGCAACAAGATGAGAGTGACTTGAGATTTACAATTTTTCACACTGTGTAATTTTTAAATTATGATTTTGGCAATACTGGAGCTGTTTCATCCATAACAGAAAAACATCAGTTACTGACTCATAACCACATAGTTATTTCTCCATCATTTCTGAACCAGATCAGCTCTTGGGCTGGTTTGCATCATCTTTCCCTGGACTTCGGAGTGCACGCACTTCCCACTTGTTTCTTTCAGCACTGCCCTTGCTGGAAATGCAGAGACATGGCCTTCCCCATTTCTCATTCTTCCAGCCACTTGGCCTCTTCCTTTTTATTATTCCCATCAGCGTTTCACTATGCTCTGAAGAATCCAAGTTTCTTTCCCAGAGCAATCACTAATTCATTGCTGAAACGTCTCTTGATTCCTTGACTAAGAGTGAATTCCGCGTCATTCATTTCACATTTTAGCTATTAATGACTGAGGAAGTATTGTTTTCAGTGAAGCATCAGTAGGAGGAAAAGGGGTTGATAAAGAGGAATGAGAGGTCAAGAAACAGAAGCAAAAGTTACTATTTTTGAAGCCAGCACTTAAGACCAGCAGTTCCAGGTCCTCTCTCAACCCTGCTCCAATTTTCACTACACAGAGTTTGATTTCATTAGATAAGGTGAGGCGACACAGCAGCTTGCTACCTATGGAAGAGACCTGCCTACTTTTGCATCATTTCCACTCCTCCTCTTCCACTTGCCAGCCTTGACAATCAGTCAACCTCCGCATAAGTCGATTCAATGCACTAAACCAGCAGAAAGTTAACAGAAAAACCAAAACCAGATTCAAGCCAGCTCTGCAGAGAATCACAAGCAAAGCCAGACAGGCATTAAGAAAAGGCAGGGCAGCAACGCCACGAAGGTTGGGAGCAAAGCAGGAAAGAGCAGAAAACAGGGAGTATGAGATGTCCCGCATTTACTGACAACAACCTGTTCAATCAGCTGATTGGCATGCAAAACTTGACCCTACAGGAATTTATGAAACCTACCGCTGCTTTCCATCAGTTAGATGAACTACAGTTAGCAAGAGGATATTCTTTGTATAGAAACATCTACTTATAGAGACCGAGTAGCAATGTGTAGCGAGTCCAATACATCTTTTTTTGGCTCCTACAAATACTAATTGACACTGTGGTTACAAATGTGTCAAGATAAACAGGGTGTTGTCACCCAGCTGGTCCCCAGAAGCACAGACCAGCCAGCATCAGCAACGGTGAGATGTGAGAAAGCACTGACTCAGTGCGTGCCCTTGGGCAAACCACAGGCAGGTCGCCTACCCTGACTGCACAAACTTTGTTAGCGCTGAGGTTGCATGAGCAGGAAAAGGTTGTTTAGTTTTCAGACTTGGTGAAATTTAAGGTGGGAGTTCTGCCAATCACAATTGCTACCTTACAGCTGATAGGACTTTAGACGAAGCCCTCTGTGCTCTTTCCCCAGGGACCACTACCACTCTCGCTAGTAGCTTTCCAAATGCAAAGCCATGTAGTTGAAGAGAAGTAGGTGCTACACTGACGAGACTGGTGCCTCACAAAAAAAACAGAGTATGCCATAATGTAGAAATATGCAGAGGCGAGCTTTCTCAAATGCATCTACCCCCCACCCTGCAAAACTGATGGGTTTAATTACAACCTTGCCTCCTTTCTTTATATTTAAACATGAAAAAGACTTCTATTTAGTGAATCTGAAGCACATTCTGCAGCTTGCAGGGAGTTTTCAAGCTTATCAGGGCAAACTCTGTTCAGCTTCAGTCCCACTACTTGGTATTCAACAATCTACCTCTCACTCTAATGAGCGAAATATGTCATTAACCAGACAATTACCAGTCCTCTAAGTAATAGTCACAGAAGAACTTTAACCCCCGGGTCCAGCTTTATCGAACAGGAATGTTTATCAGTAACTTGTTTCTAAAGCAACATTATTCACACTCTCTTTTACAAATTTTATATTGCTTTTTAAAGCTTTTAAGCAGCATTTCAGATTAACAGGTCACCTCCACTGCATTCCTTTCACATGAAAGGAGTTTTGCACAGCTTTTACTTTAATTTAATGCTCAGTAAGTGATTAATGTTACTAGATGCAGCCACAGAATAAATTTTACCAATTAAGCGAAATGCTGCTTTTCATTTGAGACTTCCCTGCAATGGCTAGAGAAGCCCCATTTTATTAGTGCAAAAAGGGAGAAAGCAATTAAGGCCTAAAATTTCTCAGGGTCAAACGGCCACTGTTGAAGAATGAAGAATAAGACTGAAATTTGACCCAGTCCCCTCTCATACTACCCAGGGCTAACTATAACTCTGCAATGCTAAACTCTGTGAATTGAGCAGGACTTCATCAAGCGAGCCTCTGCAGGATGCTTCCCTGCAGCAACACCTGCATCGCAAGTGTCTGTGGTGATTTTTTCCCCAATCTGAAAGCTCCTTTTATGGACAAAACAGGCAGAATTTCTTGTTGGCTAATCTTTATTTGGCTATGGTGAAACTACAGGACACACAGGTGCTTCCCAGCGTCCTGATCTTTACATCAGCTCTGTCCCAACAACATGTTTAACTGGACTTTGGTTTCCATGAAAAGATTGAACGAAAGACCTAAATCCTTAAATACGGAAAACAGCTACCCTGGGGTTTGGGTGTAGTCCACTGACTACAGAGGAAGTCCCTGAGCAGCTTTACTCTCAGCAGTGCTAATGAGCAGTTCGCAGTATTTTAAAAGCTGCTTTTGTCTTTGTTTTCTATTGCTTTATGTTTTTATTCTTTATAATAATTTCCTAACAGATTTTCAGGTTCTAGTTATCTGTCCACAATAAATTTTAATGCAGCTCCCTTGGGGTTATTTTTGGGGGGTTTTTTTGTTTGGGTTTTCTTTTTTTATAATCAACACCACCTCAAATTATTGAATCAGTCAATACGATACATAACGTTCAGAAATGTTCTTCGTAATATGCTAAAATGTGGCTGTGAGTTTGCAAGGCAAAACAAAGCCAATTTAGACTTGACAGCTTTGGAATGGAAGTGCAAGGGCTGGATTGGCGTGAGCTATTTCCACTCCTCTTTCCCATGACAGAATTACACACCCACATAGTTGACTTTTGCTTGCAATTGTATTTTCAGAAGCTTCACATGAAAATTAGTATTCAGATTTCTGAAATAAGTTAGGCCTGCCAAAACAAAATATACTTCACAGTCTAAATTTAAATAGTATTTACCATGAAAAAACAGTAAGATTAAGGACCATGTTTTAATTTCAAACATATGAGTTGTGTTATATAAATTATGATCGTATTAGGGCTTGTTCTTACAAAATTTATAAAGAAAAACATTAGCAACTGCGGCGTTAATGGTTTAATTCATATAAGAATACTGTCAGATCTGCTTTTAACTCCTTAGAGCAAATACATGTTTAATACAAGTCCTATTCCTACCTTACTGATCACCATCATTTAAAATCAAGTAATACTGTCATCAAGCTTTGTGAGGATTTCCTTTTATCTAAATGCGTAGTATGCAGAGGAAAAAAAAAAGCAGAAAAGAAACAATGACTGTTAATTAGTTC